CCAGCCGCTCCTCGGAAGCCCTATACAGGGTCGCTATGGGTTGGAACTGACTCAACAGCATTTAACAACAACAATTGTTACAGAATGAGGCTGCTTTTGCAGAGTCTTTCTCTTGCAGAGTGACTGATGAGTTCCAACCACTGACATTTCGGTTAGCAGGTGAGCGCTTAGCCACAGTGCCACCAGGAACCTTCACATGTACTAATATACACACACACCACACACACACAGGGCTCCTTCACGTGTACTGTTGTTGGTAAGTGCCGCCGTCGAGTCGAGTCCGACTTATGGTGGTGGGGGTGTGCGGTAGAGTCGGTTCCTACTCATAGCGACCCTGCAGAAGATTCCCAAGGCTGTAAATCTTTACGGGAACAGAAACCCTCTCTTTCTCCCACGGAATCGCTGGTAGTTTCAAACTAGCTGAACTTAAGTTTCACAGCCTGATTTATAATCACTACGCTACCAGAGCTCCTTTTCCGACTCATAGCAACCTGGTATAAAGTTTCCGAAGATCAGCTGGCGAGCTTGAACCGCTGACCTTCCAGTGCAGTATATTAATCCTCAGCACTACACCAGGACTCCTCACATGTACTAGTAAATGACGTTTTAATTTTTAAGTGAGCTATCATGTCTAGGTGTGGGTAGAGGTATAAGGGGCTGGCCTTGCCGAATTCCCAGTCTGACTTATGACTCAGGAAACATGGAAGGTAGAGCAAAGGCCTTACACAACGAAGCACCTATTTGATTGGTCCAAACCATACCACTTCAAAGCTCTGAGCAGAAAGACAGCATGGACATCTTTCCCTAGAAACGTACAGACAAGCTGGGCATATGCTTTTAGAGTGTATCTCCTTCTTAGCTATTACTTTACATTTTTATTTGTTTCTTTAAAAAAAAAAAAAAATGAGGTGTCTGTCTTCACGTTTCTTTGCACAGAGCCTCCAGCTCTCTTCTGTGTTAACTACACAGGAGAGGATCCTGTTACTGGCTCCGGGCTGGCCCAGTGCTCCTGCAGTAGCTTGGAAAACTTGATGGTGGCCTGATTTGCAGCTTAGCAGGCGGCGTTCTAGCCCCATTGCTCTGCTGGGCAAGCTGGAGTCCAGAAAATGGAGGTCCCCAGCCTCTTTCCCGAAGGAAATGCTAACCCTCTGTGCAAGGTGCATTTAGGAAACAGAAAGCCTCCATTCTTGCAATGCAGTGTTGTGCAAATGACCTTCCATGCTCACCCTTTCCTTCTCAACCCCAAAGCCACCTATATCATATGACAGCTGGGCAAAAGAACTGTGACCAGCAGAGGGATGATCTTCAGTCCCATTGGGGAATGTTTGCTCGTGCCATATCAGCACTACACAACATAGAGATAGATGCTCAAGCATTGTACCTGCTGCAGCTCCCAGAAAAGCCCAGTCTCTGCCATGGGTAGGGGGTGAGTTTGCCACAGATTTCTAAGGTGAAGGTTGTAAGAGCTTGTTTTCTTTACGGTGATCTGAGCCTCCAGGTATCTGTTATGGAGAACAGCTCATCTGTACCCTGCCAAGTGAGACTCTGTTGTGACAAAATGAGCTAGCTGGACCAGTTAAAATGGGAGCAACGTAAATACTATTTCTATTTCTGGACTGGCTTAATTTTCATTAGAACTTTAATTAAATGCTTCCTTTTCTCTCTGGTTTTTCATGTGCTTTCATTTATTAATAATTGCCCTAGTAAAGATAATTCCATTCCAACAGCTTCCAATTTAGCACGATCATTATCACTGTTCTTTGTTCAGGGTTGCTGGGCCGCGGAGCTCTCTGATGAGACTGTCCATGTTTCCTTTGGTTGAGGCCTGAAGGCGTTGTGCGCTGGGAAGCATGCTTCTGCCGCCCAGCGATGAAAAGGGATATTGCAGGAGGCTTGAGGCTGCCGGGAATGAGCGTGTAGCGTGTGAGCCTTTCTGCAGTGCTGCAGGAATCGTGACCTTGTAGGGCTGTGGCGCGTGGTGATCCAGAGACGCTCTCTAGAGAGAGCATCCACGCGGTTCACAGTGGCAGTTTTGGAAGCAAGCGATTTGACATTTGTCTGCGTGTTAATGTTTCCTTTAGCTTTAGGGGATGGACTTACTTTTAGGCAGGAAGGTGAGAAATAATTTTTGTGGTTATTTTAGAAAAGGGATATGAATGATGCTGTAATTGTTTTCAGTCAGGTGGCTGCTGGGAGAAACCAGCTCTTCCTCAGTAAATATATGAGCCCCTTTGTTTGATCAGACTGAAGAAGATATATTGCGCAGGAAAGCACTTAAGTACTTTAAAGACTCTAAAGCGATGGGCCTCAAAAAAAAAAATAATAAATAAAGCAAATCAACCAAATTACAACAGTCTATTTTGACTTGTGGCCACCCCATTTGTGTCAGAATAGAACTGTGCTCCACGGTGCTTTTAACCCAAGACTATTTTGCAGGAGATATTTGACAATGTCTGGAGACATTTCTGGTTGTCATAACTGGGGCTTCTGGTATTTAGTGGGCTGTTGTTAAGTGCTGTGGGGTCAGTTCCAACTCATAGTGATCCTGTATAGGATTTCTATGGAGCCGCTGGTGATCTTGAACCTCTGACCTTGCAGTTCAAACTGACCTGGCATTCCAGTGCATTAACCCATAGCACCACATCACGACTCCATAAAATCTCTACCCAACCCACTGCCACTGAGTAGATCAAACCCATAGTGACCCTGTGGGACAGAGTGGAACTACCCCAGAGGGTTTCTGAGGCAGTCCTGGTGTGGCGCTGTGGCCTAATGCGCCAGACTGCAAAGCCATTTAAGCTGCAAGGTTGGCAGTTCAAGTTCACCAGCTGCTCCTTAGAAACCCTCTACAGGGTCGCTATGGGTCAGAACTGACTCGACGGCACTTCACAACAACAAATGTAAACAACAAATGTTTACAAAAGCAGACTGTCACAAAGCAAGGCAGTTGGTGGGCTTGAACTGACAACCTTTCGTTTGGCAGCCCAACCTTAACCTACCATGTCTCCTTGTAATGCTGTCGGAGAAGCATTATAAAATGATCAGAAAGACTTCAGCTTCTTCTCATCTAAAATAAGTTTTTGTAGGGTTTCATGAGAGAATAATTGTCTATCACAGTATCTGATGTACTAAGATCCACGTAGTTAATTCCCCTCTCTATCCCAAACTAGCTCAGTCTCAACTGATATACTATTGACATTTTGGACTGGATATTCCTTTGTTGTGGGGGCCTGTTTTGGACCATGTATGATGTTGACTGGCATTTCTGGCCTCTACTCACTAGAAGCTAGTTGCACCTTCTCCAGGTTAGACATTGCCAAATGTCCCCCGAGTGGCAAATTCTCCCCTAGTTGAGAAGGGCTGTGTTAGGTCCTGAGTCAGGCTCACAAGCACACAGCAGAGCTCTGTCTCCACGAACCCCCATGAACAGAGACACCAGGAGGAACAGGCATCTTACTCACTGTGTGAGTCCATGGTACCACCGGTGGGTTCAGGATGGACTTCTTAGCCAATTTCTGTGGCAGTAGCCCTTCAAAAGGTTTGCTTATGTCTGACTAAATTCATTTCAGTGTCATTTGTTGTCCATAGTGACTAAGAGCCCAACCCTGGCATCATATGGGTATGCATTTGAATCCTGAATCTGTTCCTCACTAACTTTGTGGCTTTGGCAGAATTAGGTAACTTCTCTAAGCAGTTTTCTTCATTTTAAAAAAATGGAGATAATAGTACCAATAGCATAGGGACAGTATGAGGATTTAATGAGATCATCTCTGGTAGCATAGTAGTTATGAATCGGGCTGCTAACCTCAAGGTCAGCAGTTTGAAACTACCAGCTGTTCCGCAGGAGAAAGATGAGGCGTTCTGCTCCTGTAAAGATTTATAGTCTCAGAAACCCTGTGCAGGGTCGCTATGAGTTAGAACTGACTGCTCAGCCTAACAACCAACCAACCATGTTTGTGAAGTACTATGGATGCGAAAGCTGGACAGTGAATAAGGAGGATCGTAGAAGAATTGATGCCTTTGAATTGTGGTGTTGGAGGAGAATACTGAAAGTGTCAAAAGAACCAATAGATCTGTTCTGGAAGAGGTGCAACCAGAGTGCTCCTTGGAGGCCAGGATGGCTAAGCTTCATCTCATACTTTGGACATATTGTCAGGAGAGAACAATCGCTGGAGAAGAATGTTATGCTGGGTAAGATGGAGGGTCAGGGAAAAAGAGGAAGACCCCTAACGAGATGGATCAGCCAGGTGGCATCATTGATGCACTCAAGTGTGGCAGTGGCAGTGAGGTTGGCCCAAGATTGGACATTGGTTCATTCTGCTGTGCATGGGGTCGCTATGAGTCAGTTCCGACTCGATGGCACCTGACAACAGCAACAAATACAGTGCAGTCAGAGCCACACAGGGAGTGCTTGATGAAAGGGAACCCACTGTGGGTGCTGGCATGCTGTGATGGAAAAATGCCATTCAGTGGTTCATCTACATCTAGCTTTGCTTTGTAAATACTTTCCCCAAATCATTCTCCAATATTTTGTTATTGTTGTTTTTTATGCATTATTTCAGATTACCAACTCATTTGCATAGATAATTAATTCTGTAATTCCTTACTTTCTGGCATTTGGAGTTCAAGGATTTCCTGGTGTGTCAGTTCTGACTCATAGTGACTCTGTATAGGGTTTCCAAAGATTGGCTGGTGAATCTGAACCGCCATCCTTGCAGTTCAAACCTATCCTGTGGTCCACTGCATTGTCCCACAGTGCCACACCAGGACCCCTAAATAAAACCAACTCCAAGAGATAGCAAGCCATGGGCTACCATGTTGGACTTTGAACAGAAGAAGTGGAAATGGATGTGGCATATGGACAGACATATTCTGAACGGACATACTTCAAGTGGTAGATTGGTCTTTTCAGCTTTTGTTTTACAAGTTGTTAGAGAGAGAGGTGCGCTTGTTTTTGGTACCAATGTTACCGTGTTTCTGTTTCATCCTCTCTTACACAGACTCCTGTGTCATTAGTGACCACCCCAAAATACAGATCAAGAACTCAACTTTCTGCATGACTGCCTACCCCAACTTGACAATGATTAACTTCACCAGCCAGGCCAATAAGACGTTTGTCAGTGGGAGTGAAGAGTATTTCAAGTAAGTTTTTGTTTTTTTGAAAAAAAGAGAGAAACCCAATGAACTGTAATGGTCATCCAGCCCTAAGACCAGAGGGATGCTTTCCTTAGCTCTGTATCCTCTTTTCCAACCTGAGCAATCAGGAGGAAGACATTTTCTCCCAAATGCCATTCATCCCTATTCCAGGTTTTCTCTACTGCGAAACTCTGCTCATGTGCATGAATAGAAGGGAGAGTTAAGTGGATTGATGAAATAATCCCTCTAAAGATTGTAAACCATACTCACCCAGCACAACTAGAAGAATATAATCAATGAAATTCATTGTACCTGGAGAAATTGTTAATTGGTGTATATTCTGCTGTGTATATTTCCAACAACAACAAGAAGTAAAATCAATTACTTAAAAAGAAGGAAAAAGATAACTACCATAGAGTTGGGAGGAGGTGGGTCTTGAATTCACTAGGGAACTGAGAAAATGAGTCTGACCTGGTGGTCAGGTGGAATCTGCTCACACAATTCATGTGGTTAGGTAAGGTGGAATGGTTTCTAAAGCTGCATTTGGTGGTCTTTACTAACCCTCTGGGCCAGTCTTATCATCCAAAATGAAATATTCTCAAGATGTTCTTTGAGACTTCCTCTAGTTCCCTTATTTAAGTATGGAGTAGTTCAGAAAGTCAAGACACTATGGAATTGTTGACTAAATGGTTTACTTAATTTGGGGTAGGTAGGGATGGGAAGGGGATTGCTTCAGATTCCCCAGTTTTACCTTGGAGCTCAGTTCAGTTCTACCCCTTCCTTGGCTAGTCCTACTCATGCCTTGAGCCCAGGTCACTCCAGGGTTGAAGCTATTCTGGCACTGCAGGGTTTGACCATTCCTCCTCTGAAGAGTATGGTCACAAGCTGCCAAGTCACCTCTCTAACTGGCTGGAGACTAACACTCCCAGATAGACCAGGCGCGACACCACGTCTTCCTTTGCCACAGCAGGTCAGAACTTTGTGGGCTGTCTTTATGGTTCTGCAAAGTCTGGATTCTGGCTGCCTCTGTGTTCAGGTTCACAAGGTGACTGGAGTCATAGAGAAACAGAGATTTACAAGCTCAGCAGTTCCAAACAGGCTACCTGCTTAGATTACTGCACAGATGAGTGGACTGCCTGAGTCAGTTCTCAGGCTTTTCTGCTGAGAAGGACAAGCATGCTCTCTTGTCCTCAGGAGTGAGGCTGCCCTGCTTATCTGCCTGCTGCAATGATGTGGGGCTTGCAGGCAGGTCAGGACTTCTCCAGGATCAATAGCGGAGCAGCCCCTTCTGTTTGCAGCTGGTTATCTATCTGCTTTTACCTTTTAGTCAACAACAGCCATACACCACGCCCAACCAAGTACACAGCAGCATGTTTAGCCAGGAGAGCAGTCTCCACTGTGCCCTCATTAAAAAAAGTTTTAGAATGATACAAATACTATCTGAATTCCTTCTCATAAAAGTGTAGCACACTATAGCAAAAGCGGAAAAACCATCCTTGACAACATGGAGTTTCTATTAGTGACCTTAGATGAAAAACCAAAAACAAACACCACCCTTGTTAATGCCGATTGGGGGGCTGTATGGAGATCTCCCATTGCTGCTGAATTTATGACGCTTCTCCTGGAGCTGTTGCAGAGGTTGGTGGAACTGACGAAGGTCTTGGACAGAGGTTCTAGCACAAGCAGAAGCCTGCTTAGGGTCAGGAGTGGCCAGGAAGTCCCCAAGAGCAGAATAAATCCAACCAAATTCTCCAAAGACAGACAGACAGCTGTGGGCAAGAGCCCAGAGCTGTAAATCCCTCACAACCTGTTCTGCTCAGGTCCCTCATGGAGGTTGGAGGCCTTGCTGGAGTTTTTGTTTAAGACGTTGCTGGGTCTGTGGGTAGATTTAAGCTGTAGATTGTTCACTCCTCTTCTTCTTTCCCTCCCTCCTCTTTCCAACTCTAAGGTACTTTGTGCTGAAGATTTCTGCAGGGATTGAATATCCTGGAGAGATCAGGTGGCCACTAGCCTTCTGCCTCTTCCTGGCTTGGGTCATTGTGTATGCGTCCCTGGCTAAAGGAATCAAGAGTTCCGGCAAAGTAAGAGCTTTATGTTTCTGGGTCACCCAGTTGTGGAGCACCTAAGAGCCCTGGGAACGGTGCAGGGAGATGTGGATGCTACTTCTGATTCTGCTCATGAGTCACTTGTGACCTTGGGTTCAATGGGGAAAGTAGCACCGCACCTGTGGGTCTGCTAAGAGGATTCAATGAGATGACTGTGTTCAGCGCTCCTGGTGTATGGTGTGGGCACCCTATTAGTTTCCTTCCCTTCCCTTCCCATCGGTAGCTACCATGTCTTTTAGCAGATGGGACCTCCTTCATAGGATCAGTATCTTTCCCTAAACTCTAGAATTAGTGCTGCTGGTGTCTTGCCTCTGGTTTGGCTGCCAGCTCACTAATTACTTGTCTCAAGGAGTGAAAAAATATCAAACTCCTGAAGTGGATTCCTTCTCCTCATTTCCAACCACCATGTTCTTTACCTTTCCTGTCCTTTTTCCAGCTCCCAGCAAAAGAACCTTCCACACCTCATGTCCCAGCCAGGAACCACTGCAGTGGTAACCAGACACTTCAGTGCCAACAACAGCACTTAGGCACCCCAATGGACAGTTGCATTTGTCAGGATGAAAATGAAATGTCTTTTAGGCCCAAGGAATGGTGTAATCGTGGGATTCTAGGCCAGAAGTTGTGGAGTTGAGATGTTGGTCTAATAGTTTAGACCAGGGCTGGTTGTGATTGTGTTATGAAGGGACAACTTCAGAAGGATCAGGGCTCACCAGGAGACTGGTCTTTGCCCCCTCCCTCTCCCAGGTATGTTTCTTATCTCTCAGCGGGCATTCAGACCTGCACCCATTAGCCACATAGACCCATTTGTCTTCTGCTTGCACGTGTCTGGATGCCTCTTTGTAACTGCTCCTCCTGATGACCTCACCTTGTCATTTAGTGACATGGGATTTGAATGGTAGACTGAGAGATGTGTCAGGATTACCTGAGGAGAGCCAAGTTCTAGTCCTTGGAGACTTTTCATGGTGTTTGTTTGCTATCTCGGGTCATCTCCGCTTGGATCATGAAACTTGGCTGAGCTTCTAATTTGCTCTTAATGTTGTTAATACTGTCTAGTCAATTCCAACTCAAAGTGACCTTGTATAGGGTTTCCAAGGACTGGCTCGTGCCTTGCAGTTAACAGTCTAGTGTTTATCCGACAGTACCACACCAGGACCCTTGTTATTGTTGTTGTTAAGTGCCATCAAGTCGGTTCTGACCCATAGCGACTCTGTATATGGCTTCCAAGGAGTGGCTGGTGAGCTTGAACCACCAACCTTGTAGTTCAAATGGCTTTGCAGTCTGGCACTTTAACCCACAGCGCCACACCAGGACTCCAAGGATCCCTTGTAGCTTTTGTTTATTATTATTATTTACTGCTAAATGAAAATCTAATTCTCTTTATCTTAGCTATTTCAGAAGTCCTCAGTTTCCTTATTTCTAAGGTTAAAGCAATTAGACTGGATGATGTTTTAGGTCCTCTACTGCTATTACTGGAGTCCTGGTGTGGTGTTGTGGGTTAATGCGCCACACTGCAAACCCATTTGAATTGCAAGGTTGGTGGTTCAAGCTCACCAGCTGCTCCTCAGAAACCCTATACAGGGTCGCTATGGGTCGGAATTGACTCGACGGCATTTAACAACAACAACAACAACAACCTCTACTATTATTCTGGCTGCACAATGGCAGTTGAGTTTGGGGACCGTTTTTCCTCCCTGGCCTCATCAGAGCTGGGATTAAGTGACCCCAAGGGCCAGTGGACTTCCAATTTGGTGCTGTAGGATAAGCACTGGACTGTGAACCACATGGTTAGCGGTTCAAACCCACCAGGTGCTCATCAGAAACCCTATGCACAGTTGCTATGAGTTGAAAACAACAACAACAAGGGCCATTGCAACTCTGAATGAGTATTACGAGACTGGATTGTTGTTTTAAGGCAGCAGGAAGATGGGGAGAAGTTAACCTGGCCCACCTAACCATGGTCAGCATGTCCCAAGCTTCCTTGAACAACTTGCTTTCCGGAGCTTGAAAGTAAGCTTGGGTTGGGAGTTCTATTTTCAAAAATGCCCAGCCAAGTGATTGCTTAGCATGAGTAGCCAAGTATTTGCTCAACCAAAATCTTACAGGCAGGAGTGTCCCTACAGATTAAATATCCTTATTCCCACTTTATAGATAGAGAAGCTGAGACTCATCAAAGTTGAGTAAATGGACTGAAGTCACACAGTTTTTGAATGTCAGCAGTAGGATTTGAACTCAGATCTCTCTCACTTTAAACCTATACTCTTTCCCTTACATGCCATTCTCTCCCAAGGAGAGGATGTTAGGAGAAGATGAAAAATGCAGATATCGGGGAAAACACCCCCACTACGAACCAGAACCCCTGTTCTCCTGTGCAGTTCAGCCGTCATTAGCTGTATGACTTTGGGCAAGTTACTGGGTCAATCTGGGCCTCATTTTCCTCCCCTGCAAAATCAAGTGCTACAATAAATATCTCTAAGATTCCCTCTCACCCCCTTTAAAAAAAAAAAACAAAAAAACTTTTTAGTGTTTATTGACTGAAAGTTTACAGAGCAGATCCTCAGTTTAACATTTAACAAATCATATACTTCTTTTGGATTCCTGGTGTGGCACTGTGGAATAAGCACTGGACTGCAGGTCAGTTTGAACCGAGAGATCAGTGGTTCAAACTCACCAACCACTCCTCGGGAACCCTCTACAGGATCACTATGAGTTGGAACAAACTTGACAGCACTTAACAACCACAACTCTTCTTTTCATCTGGATTGCAATCACCTCATTGTAACATAATTTATCCCACTTCCTTTCTGTGTTTGTTTCCATTCCGCCTTCTTTTCCAGCTCTCTGAATTTTGTCCTTAGATAAATGCTGCCCTTTCGATCATGCACGGTTGGCTATTCCATGGTATGTGTACCTCAATAGTGTTGTTGTCCCCCCATATACCTATTTAATTTTTGGTTGAAAATTTAGTCACTGTTCCAGTGAGTTCAGTTCCAGACCTAAAGGGTGACCAAGGGCCATAGTCTAAGGGTTCCAGAAATCTCTAAGATTCCTTTTTAACTCTATTAATCTGTGATTTTTGGAGGGGTGTGGTATTATAGCTAAGGAACCCTGGTGGCACTGTAGCATAAGCACTGGGCTGCTAACTACAAGGTAGGCAGTTCAAACCCACCAGCTGTCCCAAAGGAGAAAGATGAGGCTTTCTCTGCCCACAAAGATTTACAAACTTGGAAACTCTTAGTAGGGTTACTATGAGTGGGAACTGACTTGACGGCAGTGATTTGAGTTTGGTGTTTTGGTGTTATAACCAATTCTTTCCACTGATTTAGAATTTAGTCCTTGGAGTTAGATTTTACTGAATTTGTGGAATAGGAATTTTGAGTAGCTCTGAACAGATAGGTTTTCCCTTTTGCTTTGCCAGTGAATTACCTTTCTGCTTCATCGAGAAAGCTTTCCAACTGAAGATCAATGACCACATATATATTTTTTTAATGAGGGACACCACCAGAGTAATGCATCACACTTTGCTGTCCTGCCCTGTGCCCTGCAGACATTCATCATGAAGCATTATTTAGGAACTCAGATGGCTATATCTCTGGGGCTGCTCAGCAGGATGGGCTCCCTTGTGTTAAAATTCCTAAGCAGGAGATACCTTCCTTCTCTGGTAGCAAATTAGCTTGGTTGCTCTTGTGTAGGCCTGGAGGAGACAAGCACAGAGGATTTCTTCCTTTGAGCAGTTAGATTTCCAGAGACAGAGGGGACCAGCAGGTAGCCTGATGGTCAAAAGCCGCCCACCTGACCTCAGGAGTTGCTCTGCTTGAGTTATGGCAACATACAAAGCTAACGTAATCAGCTAGCCCAGGCTGGTAGGGTCTGACCACCTGTTGGGAGCTCCCAGTATGAGGAAGCTGCCCGAGGTATCAGGTCAACAGGCTCAGATCAATGAGTCATTGCCACTCCTGCCAAGTATAATTCAGTCCTGTTCAAGTTTAATGCCCCTGACAGTACATCCTGAGACAGGTGCATTCTGAAGCCCCCCAACACAGAGAACTAGCTGTGCATAAAGACTTCATGCCCACCTGACTCAGATTTGAGACATCCCCAGAATTTAGAAGCCAAACTTAGAAGCCAAAAGACTCTCTCAGTTCATAGTACTTTTACATAAAGTACTTTACACATCCACACACCAGGGCAAGCCCACACACTGGGGAAGTCCATTAAGGTGCCTAAGGTGCAAAGTTAAAGAAGGCACTCATTTCTATATTTCTTCAAGTGCAGGTTTGACATCTGAGAAGGCAGGCTCCTTAAATTTATGCCTTAAATCCTGACCCTCATCTGGGCCCAGCGACACACTCATTTCTGATCATATAGCCCATGGCATGGCATGGCATCAGTGGAAAGAGTGTAGGCTTTGGAGTTAGAAAGCTTTAGGTTTGGATCTTGGTTCAAGCTGGGTGACCTTGAGTGAGATATTGTGAGATGCTTAGTCTGAGCTTCAGTTTCCTCCTTTATAAAATGGGATAAATGGTACCTGTTCCACAGAGAGAGGAGCCCTGGTGGTACAGGCTAAGAGTTGGGCTGCTAACTGCCAAGGTCAGCACTTTGAGCCTAACAGTCATTCTGTAGGAGAAAGAGGAGGCAGTCTGCTTCCATAAAGATTGAGAGCCTTGGAAACTACATGGAGCAGTTCTACGCTATCCTATGGGGGCTCTAGGACTTGGAATCAACAGAGGGAGCTCCAGAAATGGTCATGTTTCAACAGCCTCTAACAGTCAACTGGGAACAGTTGTCTCAGCTGCTTAGATTGGGTACCAGTTTTAGAGGTTTCCTGCTGTGGGAAATGTCTTGTCTGGGTCATCTTCTCTCCCTCAGCCCCTACTTCCATTTTTACTTCTTTGCCAGAATCAGGTGGTCAGGGAGTCCTGGTGGAGTTGCCTTCCCAAGTCAGACTGGTCAGGGCAATATCCTGAACTTGTACTGTC